GAGGCTGAGTTTGGTTTTGCTTCCCAGGGGACGGGAATGAGACCAAGGGAAGCTGGTTTTGCACAGGTGAGCAGTGCAGCAACTCACCAGTACTGGGAGCTGGGAACAAGAACCCTAACCCTTGTCCACCTGATGCATAAAAGCCCCTCTCTTTTTACATCCCTGTTCTTCCAGATATCATCCAATGATTCAGAGAAGTTGTGGATGCCCAGAGATATCCAGAGAAGCTGTGGCTGCCCCATCCCTGGCAGTGTTCAAGACCATGTTGGACAGGACGTGGAGCAACCTGGTCCACTGCAAGGTGTCCCTGCCCATTGCAGGGGTTGGAACTGGATGATCTTTAAGGTCCCTTCCAACCCAAACCATCCCATGATTCTCTGATTCTTCCCATTTAAATACATTTTTAAAGTCATCACTGATCAAATACCTCCATAGCTTTATTTTTTTCTGCTAGGAAAAGGTGTGCCCCACTTGTCGCTGACCTCACCTGGATATTTTGCAATAAATTAATATTGCCTTGTCTCAGGTGGGTTTTTAGAGAGGGAAAGAACCTCATACCAGCTGTCCTTCTTCAATCAGTTATCCTTCATCTTTACCTTTGACCACCATATTCAGGGAAGGGTTTAGATAGAAAAGCTGCTCCCTGACCCAACAAGGAACATTCCAGTGCTTTGGGAAATGGAAGATGAACAGGGTGAAAACCCCCCTTGTCTGTGGGAAACCACAGATGAGGCCAGATCTGCTGTTCTAAACAAAGTTTTTACAACAGAATGACTTGCAACAGTAGATGGGTGCTTTTGAAATTCTTCCCAGAAAGTGACAGAGAATCAATTGATGTCATTGCCAATAACTATAGGCTGAGGAACAGGGATGGGGTTCTGATAGTGCCACTGGAGGGATCCCCTCTCTATTACAGCAGCTTGCCAAGAACAAATGTTTCATTTTTATGGAGATGGCCAATGTCCTGCGTTGTCTTCAGAGACTGAGGGAGTGAACTGTTCTCTGTGTTCACTTGAAGCCAGATGTTAAAGTATTGTCTGGATATAATTGACTTGACAAATAGCAGGAGTGACATTTTAGCTCCATTCAAGTCAGTGGCAAAATTCCTGTTGAGTTCAGCTGGGGCCAAGATTTCATCCTATGACAGTGCTGACGGGAAATCTAATGAATGATCTCCAGAAAAATAAGCACAGGCATTGTGTTTTTCTAGGACTCTTTTCAGTCTATGGGCCGTGAATCCTTGGAGTTCTGTGCACTGCTTTGAGGAGATCTGCAAAAACCATTTGATTGTCAGTAGATTTAAGTGAGCTATACAGGAGTCCGTGATTCCAGGGGAAAGTGTCAGGGGTTGGATTACCAAGTTCTAAGTCAGTTTGATCCATTGAAATCCACCCATCTGTGCAGTCCTTGGACTATGTTGCTCATAGTCCTGATCAAAGGGAAAGGTTCCTGTTTACCTGAGAGCTAAATTGGGCATTTTAATGCATATCATGGAAAAGCCTGCCCAAGTGATAAAGTAACAGTTGATTCATGTCTATCCAGAGGAGTCTAGAAGTGCCACCTTGGGATGACATGGATTGAAGAGGCAGTTACTCTGCTTTTCCATGTGAAGAACGCTGCTTCTTCCCAGCTGAGCTATCATGAACGCAGATGACTCTCCGGAGGAAGACATTGCTGCACATTTGCAGTATGTTTTAGCTACTATCAACATTTATATTCCACTGGCATTTGAGGGTAAGCACTAATTAGCATAATCATCAATGCTTTAAAATTAAAAATTCCTCCAAGAGACACAGGAGGGATTGAAACTGTTTCCTTCCCCCAGAGGCAAACCCTTTCCCAAGCTATCTGCTGCACCAAAAGGCTTTATTCTAGAAACACTCCCAAGCTATGCCCAAGAGTAAATTAAACTACAGCAAACTTGTAAACCCATGTGTGTGTGTGTGTGTGTGCAGCAAGCAGGCCCTGATTTGACAATTACTACCTGATAAAGTGTTGTCACTATTTTCCACTCCTATTTTGTTTTGGCTGCTGCTCTGTGCTGTTGTGTCACCTTTGTTGTGTGGGCTGCAACAAACAAGAAGTGTTTGTAGAGTTGGAAGTTTTTATACTTCCCAGGAAAGATCCTGGTGTCTTCACAAGACTGAAAGCAAAGGGTTTAATGACACTGCCCTCCCCCAGAGCTTGCCTCAAGCTCCCCCAGTCAGGAGCTGGCTTCAAAAAATCTCAAGAGACATTATTTTCCACATGAGTTTAGAGAGGATTTTATTCTGGTTCCAAAAAGATTTACAACAAGAACCTCAAGTTGAATTTCTAGCTTAAAGACCCCTTTTAGTGGAGAATAAGGTGCCAAGAAAACCTTGGGGGAACTCTAAATTTGAAAGGTAACCTCCATACCTTGGAAATGCCCCCTAAGAGTTGATCTTTAAATTTCTCCATTGCTGCCTTTTGGAGGTGAGAGTGGAGTCTCAGCTCACAGTGACAGCAGGTGTGGTCCAGGATGGGTGTCCTGTGTGTGGGTTCATTGTGGCTCAGAGGATGCTCCTCACATCCTCAGCAGGTCTTCAAGCTGTGAGCAGGAACCTCAGGGAGCAAAAGTAGTTAACTATGATTGTTGCTCTGGAAATGGCCGGGGAGAAAAATTAGTATTTTTCCAAAGAAAATATTTACTTGAGAGGAAAACACTAAAAATTGTAGGTGTTTCTTAAAACAGTTGTGTTTGAACTCACAGTTCTTGTTATTTCTGCACAAGACACCACACCCTACGTGGAGTAACCACGGGGACTCTGCAAGACAGAGCGGCACAGAAATCTCCGTGAAAATTTCAGAGCCTGCAGGACACTGAACATATGTATTGTCTTCTTGGTATCTATTTTTTCAGCAAGATGGACTTAAATTTCATTGGCAGAAATTCTCTCTTTTATCTTTATCTCCTGTTTTGATGTGGTAGTCATGGAGAAAAGCCCCAGATTAGTAACAGTAGGTTGGTGCAGAATAAGAATAACTTTCTGCTTGGATTTAGACTGTAGAAATATTGGGGGTTTTGTTTAACTGGAAATACTCAGATGGCAGAGAATAAATATTAGATGCTGTTGGGACATTGATCACCCATTCCATTCCATTCTATCCACCTTGGACTGATAATCCTTAACTTCCCTCTCTTCTGAGGGATGTTTAGGTGGCTTTCACAAGGAAGGGGCTGGCTCTCTGTGACTGCTGCTTTTGAAAACTGGTTGGTTCCCCTGGGGGTCAATGTACTTTTGCCCTGCTACAGGTATCAGGGCGCCTGAACCCTTGGAACTTATTTTGGGTAATAATGAATGAAATGGGCTATATTCTGAAGCTGAGATGCCTCGAGCAGCACAAGAAAGCCAAATTCATGAGGGTGGGTGGCGTTGAGCTGCCACAATCAGGTGCCTGTGGCTAGAAGTGTTGTGGGCAAACACACCTCAGAGGGTAGTGGGTTAACCCAGGAAGGATGTGCAGCCCCTGTGGGCTGCATGGGATGACTTAATAGGTCTGATGATTACGTAGGATCAAAGAGAGGGTATATCCTCACTCCAGATTTCACTCCTAATCTTCTGAAACATTCAGTGCAACTTGTGCACACAACAGGATAATCAGGCTCTTTCCTGGCTCTCAGCAGCTTTTTTCTTCCACTTGTGGGGCAACTCTAGGTTTATTGCTGGACTGTAATCCCCAGACTGCATGGAAGAGGGATTGCAGGGAGAGGCTAACAAGGAGTACGAGCCAGGAGACTGAACATTCCGTGTTATTACAAGTGTCCCATATGGCACAGGTGTGTTGGCAGGACAGGGTGTCCTGCTGCTGCCTCACCCCCTGAGGTTACAAACCCGGGTCTGTTTGCTTTGCCACCCAACATTATGATTATACACAAATCATTAAAAACTCTTTTACTCCCAGCTTCCCTGCTCCCTTTTTTAAAATGGCAGCACCTCTGAAGGAAATGGAAAGCGAGTCTGTCCTCAGGTGAGGGTCACAGATGTCTCTGATTTCTGGAAGCTGCAGCAGCAGATCAAGGAACTGGGAACCGTATCAAAATCTGCCAGGTGAAGATTTCAAGGGTACAGCTCCTGAGAAAGAATGCAATTAGCACTCACTGAGGAATGGATGGATAAAATAACGTGGTGGTGCTTCACCACTTGTTTTCTTGTTGCACAGTCCTTAAGAAGCCTCTGCAAAGCCTCCTCTCTCTCTCTCCAGAAACCACGGCAAAATTCCCATCCCCTCCCTCTTGCCTAACTCCATTATGTAACCCTATAGTGTGTGTGGCATACGAGCTGAAAACTATGTACAGATTCCAACGTTTTTCACCGCCTCCCCATTTCCTTGTATAGGAAAAAACTGAAACAACACCAGTTCTGGTTATACACCACTTTTTGTTTCTTCCCTATGGAAACACCAGGCCGAAGGAGGGTATGGAGGGACCATATATGGCCGTGGGAGCTCCTCGGAGCGCGGTGCGGAGCTTCTCCCCGGAGCGCGGCGGTCCCGCTCCCCTCAGGAGATCCCTCTTCCCTCAGGAAGCCGCGGAGGGAGCGGCGAGAGCGGCACCAGCGGATGTGACCGCAGCGCAGGCTGCGCTGGGAGGGACCGCCCCCTCCGCGGCCTCCACCAATCCGCTCTCGGCTTGAAACATGACTGACGGCCGCTTCACCCAATCATACCGCTCTACTGTCCAAGCAAGCCCCACCCCTTCTCTCCGTTGGTCTCATGCCCTGTCAATCATCCCTCTTCCGCCCCTTTCCGTCAGGGGGAAATGCTCCGTAGGAAGGGCGGGGGGGAGAAAAAAGGGAAAGCAACCAATGAGACTGTAAAGAAGAATGGATTGACAGGCGGGCCGACCAACCGCTGCGCTCCATCCCGCCGCCGCTCCCTCCCCCGCGGGTGGCGGGGCAGAGGGGGCGCCCCTCCCGCCCCTTCCCCGTTGGTCTGTCCCACTCCGGGCCGGGCGGGCTGGGTTGAGTGAGCGGCTCGGACCATTGCTCGCGGCTGGCGGGGGGGGCGCGGGCGAGGCGGAGGAGGAAGGAGCCGGCGAAGGAGGCGGGGGGGCGGTTTAAAGGGACAAGAGCCGTGCGGGCGCCGGTGGGGGGAGTCGGAGCGGCGGCGGGCGGGGACTCGCCCCCTTCCCCACACACCGCCCGCTCGCACCGCGGCCAGGGTCGCCTCCGCCGCCAGCGCCCCCCTCCCCTCCCTTCCTCTCCGCCCGCCGCTTCCACAGCGGCCTCTATGAGGTAGAAGGGAGCGGCGGCCACTCCGGGGGCGGCAGCGGCCGCTACAGCCGCCGCCTCCTCCTCCTTCTCCTGCTCGCCTCAGAGCGCCCCATCTTTGTGTGCGGGAGAAGGGCGGGAGGGAGTGCGCGCTGCCCGCCCGCCGCGCTTTGTTCGGAGCCGGGGGGCCGTGGCGGAGCCCCGGCTCTATGTGCCAGCGGCTCCCCGGCGGCGGCGGCGTGAGGGGCCGGAGCCCCTGAGGGCGGGGGGGCCCCGGCCCGTGTCGGTGCTGTGGGGCGGGGGAAGGGGCCGGCTCGCTGCCCGCCGGCCCGGCCCGTGTGCGGGCGGATTGATGTGGGGGGGTCTGACATGAGTCCGCCGGCGGCCGGGTGCTGCCATGTGACCGGCTTCAAGGTGGAGAACTGGAAGCAGAACCTGCGGGCGATTTACCAGTGCTTCGTGTGGAGCGGCTCGGCCGAGACCAGGAAGCGCAAGGTACCCGGGGGCGGCTCGCATCCATCCCCCTTCCCTTCCCCTCCTTCCCTCCCTCCCCGACCCACCCGCCGCCGCCTCGGGGAGGGGACGGGTCGGGTCTCCCTCCCTCCCTCCCCACGGGGCAGGTGGGCCTGGGCTCCCGCACGCGGTCCTGGGGGGAGGGAGGGAGGAGGAAGCGCTCGGTGCCTCCGGGATGGCGAGGGGGGAGCACCGGGATGGAGGAGGGAAGAACCAGCCCCGGCGGGGCCTCTCTCTCCCTGCCACCTGCCCCGGCGGCTTTTCCGCAGCGGGGCTGTTCCGCAGCGCCGCCGCTTCCTCCTCCTCCTCCTCCTCCTCCCGGAGGTTTCCCGGAATACCGGGGGGAGGGGAGGCCCGGGGCACCGGGCACGTCCGGCCTGCGGCGGAGCTTTGTGGAGCCCCGCGGGGCCGCGCCCGAGCCCGGGGGGCTGCGCGGAGCACAATGGCTGGGAGCGGGTCCCGGCGCCGCGGCTGCGGCTCGCTCGGTTGTGTCTGTGTGGGGTTTTCTTTTTTTCCCTTAAAAAAAAAAAAGGCAAAAGCTGCTCGTGTTCATAATCCACTTGGAACAGGGGATTCCTGCCCTAGTGGGGCGGGGGGAAGAAACTGGCTCAGCCTGGAGTACAGGGAAGGGCAGGGGATGGTTTGCTCTGGGAGCTGTTGGCGCCTGGGAAAAATCCCTATAAACCAGGGAAAAGGCAGGAAGAGCGCTTTCCCCCCACCTATCTCCTAAATGACATCTCTGTCCACATGCATGTTTCTGGAGGGCTTCTCTCTTCGCTGTGCAACTAATTACTGTTTTTCCCCAGAATCAACTAGTTTTTGCTTCAAAGTGACTTGGCAGATTTCTGTCAGTCGTCGCATTGGTGACTGAGGAGGGGAAGGCAACAGCTACACACGGAGCAGAACTTGGTTTTTGGGACAGCACGGATTGTGTTTGTGTTGGAGCAACCCATTGAGAACTTTCAGATCCCAGTGGTTTGCATTAAGCTGCTCAGCTTATTATTCATAATAGAAGTAGAGCATGAAGGATGGACTTCAGGGGTGAGGTGGCAAACCATTTCTCTGTGTTTGGTTCATGTTCTCAGGACAATCCAGTTTTCCAGTTTTTTACTTAAAGAGGAAAAAATGGAATCTGAGAAGAAACATGTATTAAATGTATTCAGTTACTTGATAGCCCTGCAAAATGTAGCCAGACTTGTTTTCAATATCCTACAATCCCCCTACAAGCCAATATTATGAAGCATATTAGTCAAAATTTGGGTTTATTTAGCCTTTAGTATGTCAAAATACAAATTAAGATATAATAGGTGGTACTTACAGCTTAAATGGAGGAAAAAATTATATATGTGCTGGGAAAGAAAAAAAATACAAGTGAGGTACAAAGATGTCACAGACAAATATAAAGCAAGTGCTATGTGGAAGAATGAAAATGAAATTTTATTAGCAAAATTACCTTTTTTTCTTTATAAATATGGAGCATCCATTGTAACCTGCATACCAGTTGTATGCTGCAACAGCTTTTTCTTCTGAAATCTAATGGTAGGATGTGTTCATCATTGCTTGAGAAAACAGCTGGAAATACATAATATTCCATTGTAATCAATCTGTTCTCACTTCCTCTTTGCACAGCCAGGCTCATAAAGCAGAACAGGGTTGTTGCAAAATTATCTGTCAGCTCATAGAAAACACCAGTTTTCCTAATACATAAAAATGCCTTCCCCCCCCTGTTTTTTTAAGCAGGTTGAAAATAGTTGGGTACCTGAATTCAGCCCACCTGAAATATGTGGGAGTACATGATCACGTATAGGGTACTGTTTTGGGTAGCTGAATATGGGGTTCATTCCCTATCTGTGTTCATAAGGATTGGAGAAAGTCTATAAATGACACTTAAGGTACTTACCTCCCCTGCATATGGACTTGAGACCTTCTTGTATGGAATTTTTCTTTACTGAAATTCCCTGTCCATATGTATGCTTTACAGTTTTATACGTAAAATTTGATAGATGGAATTTTCTGTTTGGTGGAATGTTTATAGTCCAATAACCAGAAATAAATTAACTAGATAGTCCATACAATTAGAAATAAATAACTAGAAAACAATCCTTTGTCCTTTAATATTTTATATATACATGTATAATATGGATATATAATCTAGGAGCACAGCTGTGACTGCGTATTTATTGGTGAGGATTCTTCTTAGTCTTAATCAAAATGATGAGGCTAAATTAAAGGTTTGTTAGAAGGGGATATCTTTTTTGTGATAAAGGACAACCACATCATACAGTTGTCACAGGAAACATTCCATACATGTAGCTGATCACTGGGCAGTTTCACTGTTGATCAGATGAATGCAGCTGTAAAAATGCCTTGGCTGTTGGTGAGAGCCAGATGTAAATGGTTCTGGTTCTAGAATGGTAACTACTATCCCTCCTAAGGCTGTCTTAAAAATCCAGGGAGCAGTGGGAACTGCAGGGGGCAGAAAGGGTCCATTCTCCTGCTGTACCTACTCTATATTCTGCCTTGGCAGACCATTTTAATGCTGTGCTATTCGTTTTTAATACGTACCTTTTCTGTGAATAAGCTTTTATGAGCTTCAGCTCGTGGTTCAGTTTGCTTTACAGCCAGTGGTTCAAGCAGAATGGCTCTGAAGTGTGGTTTATGGTGGGAAAGCTGTCTCCTGAACGTGTATTTGAATTCTCAGTCAGAATCAAGAGGTAATTACACATGTATCTTTGTAGGCACTGGGATTCTGGTGAAGATTTTCGGAGTGTGTGTTTGCTCCTGAAGCTGTGGCTGTGCTGGGATTCGAGCTGTCATCGTGGTGCATTGTTGTATCCACACGAAGGAGCGAGGCTGTGACTTGCCTCATCTCACTGCACCTTGGCCAAACTCAAGTGCAGAGCTCTGTACAAGCTGTTCTGGGCACAGGGTTTGCCGTGGTGTAATTGTGTTGCTGATAGTAAAGCCTAAGCAAAGACAAAAACCCGCCTGTCACGCTGGAGATGGGAACAGGAGAAGAGGGAGAGGGAGAAATCTGAAGGCCAACTCTTGAAATTGTAATTATTGTGGTTAAAAGTTGCAACTAGATTTCAGGGCTCAAGTTGTATGTAAAGTGGCAGAAATTAGGGTGGACTGTGTCGGTGTTAGGGTTTTGACCCGTAACTCTTGATTTTTAATTTACCATAGTTAGAATCTGTTTATTAAGCTGATGGCAAAGCTCATGTTTCTGTAGGTCGTGGACTTTACCTTGAATGTTTTGATGTGGAAATTACCTCACACTTAATTAAGTAACACTGTATAAGAGGTCCTTAAATTTGACACCACTACCCCCCATTTAGGAATTGTGGAGCAGACAGAGGATGCTGAAAAGACTTTTGCCAGCCCTTCGTGTCAGCTTTTTCCATTTTTTCTGAAGGGTTACACTTGAAACATTTTGCTTATTCCTTTAGAATTAGAGATGATAAAAACATTTTGCAGTGTCAGATGTAGTTTGTGGTCCCCGTCAGTGAGTAATTAGACATGTAAATGCATCTTAATGTCCGGGGCTTGGTAAGTAATGGTCTCAGTGCTTGAAGGGCAGCTAAATTTATGATTTAATTTTATCTTACTGGACTATATATCTTGATGGAAAACTGTCTCATTCTGAATGCTTATTATCACTTCTCTGAAAAGGCTCAGGATGATAAAAGTAAACTGGTCATTGTGACCACAGTCGTGATATGCACAAGGCTCTATCTGGAATTTCAGAGTGTTTGTTCAGTGCTTCAGCCAATAGATCAAAGAATAATTGCCTGTCAGGGGCTGTGCACTCTCACTGACAGCGGGTGCGTTCTGGTGTATTTCTTCCTGTTTGAGAGCTTCTGTTGTTTATTCCATTATTCTCTCTTTACATGGACCCTCCAGACCCATTGATGCTTTCAGATACGAAGAAACATTTGCTCTTATAGGTGATGACCTTTCTTCAGGTGTCCTTCTCCCCGTGAACTTGTGACTTCGGTTCGTTTTCCTTATAATATTTTGCCACATAATCAACTCAAACCTGAAATGACTTTGGTTCATTTCCTAACTTTCAAAGCAGAAAGAGCTTAATAATAACAACTTAGCAAATAAATGCCGTGTCATGTTTTCAGTAGCAAGTATTGTGGTTCACATTCTAAATCAGCGTGTCACGTTCTTGCTAAAATGACCTTGCAGTCTCAGGGTGAGCTACTGGTGGAACTTTTCCTCTCAGGCCTGTTGAGGCACGTCTTCTCCCGAATAGCCTTGCCCCATATACCTGTCCAGGAACAGGGAAGTGTTACTGAGGTGATTTGCTTTGTGCTTTCCTTGTCCTTTGGGCAAGGAACCTCAGCAGGCTGTGCTGCCTTCACAGGCTCGGTGTTTGGATTGCTTAAATTAATAAGGAAACCTTAGCTTGTTTTTCTTTAACGTTTTTAGCGTGTGCACCAAACTTCTGGATTACAAATCCTGTGGAGAATTTGAAAGAGGAGTCCAGGATTCAAGAAGCATGTCTCTTTTTCAGCTGCATACTCCGCTTTGGCTGCCTGTGTGAACTGTCTGATTGACTCAGGAAGGATGTTCTTCTTTGCCATGTGCTGTGGGAACTCCCTGAAAGCCCACGAGAAGTGTCAAAGTCAACTGCAAGCTTCATTGTTCAGGAGGTCTCCAGTTTCATACCTGAACAATCTTCCTTAGGTCCCAACCTCTAAGAACTAAAAGGGTCCTTAGACCTGCTGAAGGTAACGTTCTCTTTCCTCTTGATGTGAAGACACGATCTTTGGTGTGAGAGGTATCCACACGTGAGATTTTTAGCTCCTTGTGTATGTGGGACAAGCCAGATCGAAAATGCTCCACCGAGCTTCTGTCCCTGGCGCCGAAGAATATAATACAAGGCCTTCCTCTTCCTAGTGGTGCTAATCCCTATTTTATATCCTGTACCACGTTTTTGGTTTCTTTTTAAAATCAGTGGCTGGTTTCTGGGC